CAGGCCCCTACAAACCCCCTCTTTCGCTCTCTGCGACCCACTCTCTGCCCATGCAAAAACTCTCTCTCAAACTCCTCCTCCCAGCCCCCCACATTCTTCTAGGGATGGAAACCCTATCCCTATTGTCTGTTTTACCTCAGTCTGGTTCGGCCCACTGCCGGTAATTGATCGCCCACATTTACAAGCAGTTTGCTGTTCAAGTTGTGTAAAACTCACCAAGCAAGATAGAGATTGATTTACATGAAAGTGTGGGTTGCAGGTCAGTTTAGCGACTCGGCCTCACGTGTGTTAAGGCCAGAGCAGAGACTATGAGACATTTTTACCTATTGACTTGAATTTGCCAGCCAATTCTTTGCCTCCAGGCGACAAGTTTTAAATAATTGGTGAGAGCAGAAGGGGGGATTTTTACTCAAAAGAGTTATTCTGTGTAATTTAATTGCCATACTCCTTAGGGTCTAAGGAAGAGATTCTTGAGTAAACTGAGTGTATATTTCTTCTCCGTTTACTCATATGTCTCCCATTAGTGTTAGAGGGAGCCAATTTTCCTCTCAATTAAAGTAATGAAACTGGTGTGAAAACAGTATGAAATGAGAAGCTAGCATGCTAATGTTTATATTTTGTATTCACTGCAAAGTATAAGGAGTAGGATATGACGATGGGTGGATTTTATTGGATTAATATGAGTGCACATTTAGGTTTATGGAACATGACTGAGCCAAGGGGGAAATCCTGAAGGCCTCGCTTTGTCTCTTCTCAGAAAGCAGCACTTCCTTACAAAAAAGGATGGTTTCAACTGGCCAATTCTTATGAGCACCATATCAAAGGGGTGTGTGTGTGTGTGTGTGTGTGTGTGTGTGTAAATATACAGGATAACCCCCGATAATCTTAAATTAGGCAGAGTTTAGTCCAGATTTTGGTGTACAATCAGCCTCTTACAGCCTCACCCACATTTAAAGCATTCTTATGCCACTTTTTAACAGAGATGGCTTCCCCCCAAATAATTCCAGGAACTGTAGCTCATTACAGCAGAGCTATAATTCCCAGCACCCTTAACAGGATTCTTCGGGAGTGTTAAAAGTGCTTTAACTGTATAGTGTAGATGTGACTTTAGTTATATCCATAATCATGCCTGAGTGAGGACAGACAGCATTATCTGGGGTCACTTGTAGATAACCTGTTTATTGATTATTCGTCCTGATTTGTTTGAACATTGCTGGCATGCAGATTAGATGACACTGGCCATTTATTGAGCATTCATTCTGATTTGTCTGTGGGGAGGCCCCATGACATTGCATCAAGCAATTGTGATCCCTCCTTCCAGTGTATCTCCCTGTCACTTTCCTTATCACAAAAAGCCCAGCTGTGTGCCAATTTATCTTAGCAAAATCTACGGTTTACGTACATTTCGTGGTCTAGCTTCACTGCAAAAAGGAGAGGGGATTTGCTTACATGCACAAGTGACACAGTACCAAGTCTTTGAATCCTAAGCTATATCATTTATTAAAAATATAACAAAAACTGAATTCAGATTGCAAAAAAAATGCAGATTGGGTTTGTACAGTGGACCCTCCAGATAAATTCGTTCCAGGGGTCCGACCGTAACCTGAAAAGTCCATAGGCAGAGGTGCCGCTTCTGCTCACGCGTGCGGCGAAACCTGGAAGTATACACTTCTGGGTTTGCCACATTCATAACCCGAAAGTTACGTATCCAGAGCGCTATGTAACTAGAGAGCCCGCTGTACATGCAAAATTCGGTCTAGGGGGAGGAAAAGCTTCATTCTCTCCAAAATAGCCATTGCTTTTTTTTTTAATGACACTAGAAAACAATCCAAGTTACCCCCCTAACCAGCACTGCTCCAACCCACTCCCACCATCCTTTCATGCAATGTACAGAACAGAATTCCGCATGAAAAGAACACCCCACGAATGCAATGAATTATTGTTTCAGATTTCCTTCTGCTCTTTGCTAGCTACCTTTGAAGTTTTCCTCCCAGAAAACTCCTCCAGCTTTGCTGCTTTGAATATTTTCCACTATTATTTGGGCCATTGCAGACATTCTCATGATATTAAAACAAATAAGAATCAGGAGGTATCTAATTGTCCTGGTTTTGATTTCCATAATGAAAAGTGAAAGTTAAATAGAAAGGCAGGCAGAGCTTAAAGCCGCAGTCTCCCTGCAGTGGGGAGGCACCGGGATGAATGGAAAGCGAAGGGAAACTCACCAGGAAGAAAATCGTCAAGTTGAAAACAATTAATAAGATAACAAAGGACTAACAAATCTATTGTGCCACAAGCTTTTGTGGACTACAGTCCACTTCTTCAAGTGTATGAATGAAGTTTGATCCTGAGTTGTATATGCACAAACACAGGCACATACAGTTTGTTGGTGTGCCTAACAGCGAAGTTAGGGGAAATAAAATGTAAATGTGGTTGATATCACAGAAATCATTGCATTGGTAAACCAATTAAACACACTTTGTGTGATAAAAACCTACTGTCCCGATTCAATCCACAAGTGGTAGCATTCAGTTAATAAGGTGGCAGCTAAATTTGGGCAGGGATCTGCAAGGTTTGTTTTCTTATTCTACTAGGGTAATTCATATCCTGTCTTTTCATGTACCTGTGTAGTGCTTCAGGCTGGCAACCACTTTCAAAGAACAATTAAACTACCTTTAATTAAACAATTACAGTGGTGCCCCGCAAGACGAATGCCTCGCAAGACGAAAAACTCGCTAGACGAAAGGTTTTTGCGTTTTTTGAGTCGTTCCGCAAGACAAATTTCCCTATGGGCTTGCTTCGCAAGACGAAACGTCTTGCGAGTTCTTGCGAGTTTGTTTCCTTTTTCTTAAAGCCGCTAAGCCGTTAATAGCCGCTAAGCCGCTAATAGCCGCTAAGCCGCTAAGCCGCTAATAGCCGTGCTTCGCAAAACGAAAAAACCGCAAGACGAAGAGACTCGCGGAACGGATTAATTTCATCTTGCGAGGCACCACTGTAAAACAATAGCCAGCTGGATTGATATCACAGAACTATTTCACCAACATGCTAAGAACGTAAGAGCTCAGGTGGATCAGACCACTGAGACACACAATTCATCATCCTCTAGTCTATACAAACTCTTTGACATATCTAATATTTTCATTGCTGTTTTGGGTGAGAGTGAAGATTTCTGATTTTGATTATTTTTAGAGGAACTCTACTAGTATATCTGTATTCTTTCCCTGGATATGTTATTCTCTAATTTTGTATTTTATTTCCATTGTAAATTGCTTTGGAACCCCTTCTGGTTATGTATTTATCTTTCAGACATCAGATCACAGCATTTTATCCTCTCAGGCATCCTAATGGTTGAGGGTTGAACCCAAAGAGGTCACTGTGTGAGGAGAACAGTTTCCACTCATGGAACAGAACTTCTCATCGCTCTCCTCCCACTCTGCGCCCCAGTACCCCCAAAAATTTGCTCTGAGAGGGTGGGAGGGAATTCCTAGAGATGATTAAGATGGTTCCCTAGGGAATGCAACCCTAATATATTTTAAGATTGGAAGGATGCTAAATTTTAAACATAGGAAATGAAGTTTTCGCTCTACAGTTTTAACTGATACTTAGTCATGTTAATTGTTTGTTGATTTTTAACTTTTTCCGTGTCTTGCTTTTTTTATGTTGTAAATAGCCCTTGGGTAAATATTGTGAGGGGGCAGTATATGTAGAAGCCCCTAAATGAATAAATATGTGATTATATCATCGAGGACAAACTGAGTCTTGGATTAGCCACAAAGCAAACAAGATGATGCCACAGTGATGGCATCACTGAGTGATGACATCACTGAGAGCAAATGAAGTTAACCAAAAGTGAGAACAAGTCGGTGCAATGCAAACAAGTTGGCGCAATGTAAAAAAAAAAAAAAAAAAAGTTCAGAAAAAGAAATGTGTTTTTCCATACGGCCAGAAAATGTTCACAACATGGCCTTAGTTTACAGAGAAACAGCCCTTTGACTCCAGCCATGTGCTTCTACACAGAGCTCTTGACAATAGAGGCTTCTCTGTTGGGCGAAGAGGGGCACAGGTCTTCCAGTGGTAGATTCTGAGGCCCCTAACCGCCAAAGACATAGTCCAGTATTTCTCCTGTTTGCCGCAGTCAACAGGACTTCTGCTTTGAATAGACATGCATAGGATCACATTGCAAATAGACCTGTACGCAGCACACACATACCAAAGACTCAAGTTCCTTCGTTTAAACAAACGTGTGTGTCACCAGTAGTAACATTATTGATGTAACAGTTAAGATACATAAAGGGTATCCAGAACAAATACTCTAGGGATAAATTAGGGTAGCTTTTAAAACATTTGGTTTTTTTTACATATAGACAGTAGGTAAAGGTAAAGGGACCCCTGACCATTAGGTCCAGTCGTGGCCGACTCTCGGGTTGCGGCACTCATCTCGCTTTATTGGCCGAGGGAGCCGGCGGACAGCTTCCAGGTCATGTGGCCAGCATGACTAAGCCACTTCTGGCGAACCAGAGCAGCACACGGAAACACCGTTTACCTTCCCGCCGGAGCGGTACCTATTTATCTACTTGCACTTTGACGTGCTTTCGAACTGCTAGGTTGGCAGGAGCAGGGACTGAGCAATGGGAGCTTACCCCGTCGCGGGGATTCAAACCGCCGACCTTCTGATCAGCAAGTCCTAGGCTCTGTGGTTTAACCCACAGTGCCACCCGCGTCCCCATATAAACAGTAGCAGGCCTTTAAACCTTGATAGAACCATCTTCCATGGTTTTCTCTTTATGGAGGAGAGCCAGAACTTGTTCTCTAGTTCAGTTTTTTCATCCAAGCTGGAAAAGGATTTTGAGGGCTTGTAAAACTCACCACTTGTTTGGAGGTGGGCTTTACGAGTCCCCAAGCTCCTTTTCTGAACCTGGCGTCTTAGCTTGAAACCATGGTTACAAGGAAAGGCATGAACAATAGGAAAAGGAGCATTCTGTTTCCTTAACTGATAGTCTCTATGTTCTATTACCTATCCAGGAAAGCTGTTTGGGCCCCTTTGGGAAGATACAGAAAGTCAGTAAAAACACTCTTAATCCGGTGATCTTCCTGACAGGATGTCAGCCCCATTCTTCGGATTCTCTATTAGAATACAGACAGCTTGTCATTGCGAAAGGTAATTAAGTGTCCAAGATGGTGTGGCACTCTGCTTAATTTTGCTGCACAGTTCTTAGGGTACTATTGCACCTCTCCCGTAGGATGCAGATTTTAATTTTTTTAAACACCAAATACCACAAAGCCTTCATTAACGTCTTGGAAAAATACAAGCTGGATTGGAAGGTACCAGAGTGTTTTCATCCATTGCTTTCATACGTTGGTAGACAGGACTGTGTACCTGGAGGTTAACACTGGTCATTGACCATAATAAAGAGATGGATTGACTGGCAAACAAGGTTATCACAATCTCACCAGTACTTAAAGAGCAAAGCTCTCTGCTGTTTTGTTTTGCCTATGTGCCTTGCAACCCTAAAACAAAGATGAGGGGTGTATGACCTTCAAGATATTGCTGGACTCCAACTCCTGTGTGTCCCAGCCATCATGGCTAATTGAATCCCAATCTGTGGGAAAGGCAGGATATAAATATAAATATGTTAAAATAATAGGAGGAGGAGAGGAAGAATGGTCAGGGATGGTGGGAGTTGTAGTCCTACAACCTCTGGAGGGCCACAGGTTCCTCATGCCTTGCCCTAAATGAACCAGGACCAGGTAGGACTGGCTATTGCCATATCAACAAGTCCACTTATTAACATCTTCAGCCCAGCTTTGGGTACTCCCCCATTCTGAAGTGATGTGGGTAGATAAGATGAACAGTGTCCTCTCACTGGCAGTGCCCTGATTATGGAAAACTCAAGGCACTTTTGTCAGGCTCTTTCTATTAGGCACCGCCTGACATTCCCAGCCCTGTTCCCTAAGACTTTCAGTGGCATTTAGGAATATAGGAAGCTGTCTTATACTGCCATCCCTTTCGACCAACTAATCAAAAGCCCCCTCTCCTCCCCCCCAAATATGGCTCTGGGGGCTCAGGAGAACCTCCAGAGATGTGTGTAGGGAGAGGAGAGGGGAGATATGTCTGCCAAGCAGAAATGCTTGTAGTGACAGAACTATTGTAACAGCACAACACTGCATTCCTCCCAGAATCAGAAGCTGCAGAATCTCCAGTTAAGGAGCTGGACAAAGAGCCAGACCAGGTTCAGGACTTGATTCTATGTCCATTTAAAGCTGAAACTATGAGTTTTGCACTTTCCCAAACAATATGTGGATTGAAGCACAAGTATTCTTTGAAATTTGCATTTATTTGAATTTTGTGCTGCTGTTATTTGACCAATATATATTACCATGGGGCACCGAGGAACGTATTTCCAAGTTGTTGTTGTTTAGTCGTTTAGTCGTGTCCGACTCTTCGTGACCCCATGGACCAGAGCACACCAGGCACTCCTGTCCTCCACTGCCTCCCGCAGTTTGATCAAACTCATGCTGGTAGCTTCAAGAACACCATCCAACCATCTCATCCTCTGTCGTCCCCTTCTCCTTGTGCCCTCCATCTTTCCCAACATCGGGGACTTTTCCAGGGAGTCTTCTCATGAGGTGGCCAAAGTATTGGAGCCTCAGCTTCACGATCTGTCCTTCCCGTGAGCACTCAGGGCTGATTTCCTTAAGAATGGATAGGTTTGATCTTCTTGCAGTCCATGGGACTCTCCAGAGTCTCCTCCAGCACCATAATTCAAAAGCATCAATTCTTCGGCGATCAGCCTTCTTTATGGTCCAGCTCTCACTTCCATACATCACTACTGGGAAAACCATAGCTTTTACTATACGGACCTTTGTTGACAAGGTGATGTCTCTACTTTTTAAGATGCTGTCTAGGTTTGTCATTGCTTTTCTCCCAAGAAGCAGGCGTCTTTTAATTTCGCGACTGCTGTCACCATCTGCAGTGATCATGGAGCCCAAGAAAGTAAAATCTCTTACTGCCTCCATAGAATCATAGAATCATAGAATCATAGAGTTGGAAGAGACCACAAGGGCCATCGAGTCCAACCCCCTGCCAAGCAGGAAACACCATCAGAGCACTCCTGACATATGGTTGTCAAGCCTCTGCTTAAAGACCTCCAAAGAAGGAGACTCCACCACACTCCTTGGCAGCAAATTCCACTGTCAAACAGCTCTTACTGTCAGGAAGTTCTTCCTAATGTTTAGGTGGAATCTTCTTTCTTGTAGTTTGGATCCATTGCTCCGTGTCCGCTTCTCTGGAGCAGCAGAAAACAACCTTTCTCCCTCCTCTATGTGACATCCTTTTATATATTTGAACATTTCTTCCCCTTCTATTTGCCAGGAGGTGATAGGACCAGTGGCCATGATCTTCGTTTTTTTGATGTTGAGCTTCAGACCATATTTTGCACTCTCTTCTTTCACCCTCATTAAAAGGTTCTTTAATTCCTCCTCACTTTCTGCCATCAAGGTTGTGTCATCTGCATATCTGAGGTTGTTGATATTTCTTCCGGCAATCTTAATTCCGGCTAGGGATTCATCCAGCCCAGCCTTTCGCATGATGGATTCTGCATATAAGTGAAATAACCAGGGAGACAATATACAGCCTTGTCGTACTCCTTTCCCAATTTTGAACCAATCAGTTGTTCCATATCCAGTTCTAACTGTAGCTTCTTGTCCCACATAGAGATTTCTCAGGAGACAGATGAGGTGATCAGGCACTCCCATTTCTTTAAGAACTTGCCATAGTTTGCTGTGGTTGACACAGTCAAAGGCTTTTGCATAGTCAATGAAGCAGAAGTAGATGTCTTTCTGGAACTCTCTAGCTTTCTCCATAATCCAGCGCATGTTTGCAATTTGGTCTCTGGTTCCTAAATCCAGCTTGCACTTCTGGGAGTTCTTGGTCCACATACTGCTTGAGCCTTCCTTGTAGAATTTTAAGCATAACCTTGCTAGCGTGTGAAATGAGTGCAATTGTGCGGTAGTTGGAGCATTCTTTGGCACTGTAGACTGATCTTCTCCAATCCTCTGGCCACTGCTGAGTTTTCCAAACTTGCTGGCATATTGAGTGTAGCACCTTAACAGCATCATCTTTTAAAATTTTAAATAGTTCAGCTGGAATACCATCACTTCCACTGGCCTTGTTATTTGCAGTGCTTTCTAAGGCCCATTTGACTTCACTCTCCAGGATGTCTGGGTCAAGGTCAGCAACCACACTACCTGGGGTGTACGAGACATCCATATCTTTCTGGTATAATTCCTCTGTGTATTCTTGCCACCTCTTCTTGATGTCTTCTGCTTCTGTTAGGTCCTTACCACTTTTGTCCTTTATTATGGTAATCTTTGTACGAAATGTTCCTTTCATATTTCCGATTTTCTTGAACAGATCTCTGGTTCTTCCCATTCTGTTGTTTTCTTCTATTTCTTTGCATTGCTCGTTTAAGAAGGCCTTCTTGTCTCTCCTTGCTATTCTTTGGAAATCTGCATTCAATTTCCTGTATCTTTCACTATCTCCCTCGCATTTTGCTTGCCTTCTCTCCCCGCTATTTGTAAGGCCTCGTTGGACAGCCACTTTGCTTTCTTGCATTTCTTTTTCATTGGGATGGTTTTAGTTGCTGCCTCCTGTATAATGTTGCGAGCCTCCACCCATAGTTCTTCAGGCACTCTGTCCAGCAAATCTAAATCCTTAAACCTGTTCCTCACTTCCACTGTGTATTCATAAGGGATTTGGTTTAGATTGTATCTTACCGGCCCAGTGGTTTTTCCTACTTTCTTCAGTTTAAGCTTGAATTTTGCTATAAGAAGCTGATGATCTGAGCCACAGTCAGCTCCAGGTCTTGTTTTTGCTGAATGTATAGAGCTTCTCCATCTTTGGCTGCAGAGAATATAATCAATCTGATTTCGATGTTGCCCATCTGGTGATGTCCATGTGTAGAGTCGTCTCTTGTGTTGTTGGAAAAGCGTGTTTGTGATGACCAGCTTGTTCTCTTGACAGAACTCTATTAGCCTTTGCCCTGCTTCGTTTTGATCTCCAAGGCCAAACTTGCCAGTTGTTCCTTTTATCTCTTGATTCCCTACTTTAGCATTCCAATCCCCTATAATGAGAAGAACATCCTTCTTTGGTGTCATTACTATAAGGTCTTGTAAGTCTTCATAGAATTGGTCAATTTCACTTTCTTCAGCACCAGTAGTTGGTGCATAAACTTGGATTACTGTGATGTTAAAAGGTCTGCCTTGGATTCGTATCGAGATCATTCTATCATTTTTGAGATTGCATCCCAGTACAGCTTTCGCCACTCTTTTGTTGACTATGAGGGCCCCTCCATTTCTTTTACGGGTTTCTTTCCCACAGTAGTAGATATGATGGTCATCTGAACTGAATTTGCCCATTCCCGTCCATTTTAGTTCACTGATGCCCAGGATGTCAATATTTATTCTTGCCATCTCATTTTTGACCACATCCAACTTACCCAGGTTCATGGTTCTTACATTCCAGGTTCCTATGCAATATTTTTCTTTACAGCATTGGACTTTCCTTTCGCTTCCAGGCATATCCGCAACTGAGCGTCCTTTCGGCTTTGGCCCAGCCGCTTCATCAGCTCTGGATCTACTTGTACTTGTCCTCCGCTCTTCCCCAGTAGCATGTTGGACACCTTCCGACCTGAGGGGCTCATCTTCCAGCGTCATAACTTTTATATGCCTGTTGTCTTTGTCCATGGAGTTTTCTTGGCAGGGATACTGGAGTGGCTTGCCGGTTCCTCCTCCAGGTGGATCACGTTTGGTCAAAACTCTCCACTATGACCTGTTCATAGCTTCTCTGAGTTATTCAAGCCCCTTCGCCATGGCAAGGCAGTGATCCATGAAGGGGATTTCCAAGTAAACACGTGTGTGTATGTATGTATATATATATATATATATGGGGAAAGTGTGCATAAAAATGAAGAGATTAATGAAAATACGAATAAAAAATGTAAAACTATATAAAAATGCATTATATAAAAATGCATTATATTAGGAGAAACTGCTTGAAAAAAATGTGTACATGGCACATGGCTTACAAAAGTGTTACGTTACTTACAAAAAGGCATATAAATTTGTGTTACTTAGGAAAAATTCACACTGAAATGCTTGTGAATTTTCATAAGGATTTTTTAAAAAAGATATCACAAAGTCCTGGAAAAATGAGAACCTGAGAGAACCAAAATCGCTACCTGGGAATTAATCCCATTGAATTTGATAGGACTTACCCCCGAGTCAAGGTTGTTAGGATTGTGTTGTATGTCTGCAATCCTAAATGCTCTTACGAGGAGGTAACCCCATGGGACACTGAGGAACATATATCCAAGTACCCATGCATATGATTCCACTGTTCATATTCTTGATAGTAATATGTAGGAAATGAGCAGCAGAAATGCAATATGGCTGTTAATCAAAATTTTAATAAAGATGCATTAAATAATAAGCAAGAGGAAGATTCAGAAGTTGAATTATCTGAGTGAGGCACATAGTAACGTCTTGCTTTTTTCCCCCTAAAAGGAAAGGCTGTTTCCAAGAGCAAGGTCAATGAGGCAATGAAATAATTTACCTAGGGGATTCATCAAGGAATCATCAGAAGAGGCATTGAAGCAAAAATGAGATTTAATACATTAAGCAGTAAGCTAATGGTTAGTGTTGCATTATCATGGTGAACTGGACTTGATGGCTGTGGTGGTGTCCTTTTCAAACGGAAATGTATCCTGCCTAATCAAAATTAGAGGCTTAATTGCATAAAACATATTCCTGGAGAAATACTGATCTCTACATTTCATTAATCCCTGTCTTGCCTCCCCCCCTCTTTCCTAGCAATCAGTCACTGTGGTTTTCTAGACTCTTCTAGACCTGAGAGAGGGCAGGGGAGGGAAAGATTTAATGGACCAACCTGAGTTACGTGCAGACCCTGAATTAGAGGATGGGCTGTGGCATGCTGAAGGTTTCAGGTTCAATCCATGACACCTCTAAAGGTAAAGGTAAAGGGACCCCTGACCATTAGGTCCAGTCGTGGCCAATTCTGGGGTTGCGGCGCTCATCTCGCTTTATTGGCCAAGGGAGCCGGCGTACAGCTTCCGGGTCATGTGGCCAGCATGACTAAGCCGCTTCTGGCGAACCAGAGCAGTGCACGGAAATGGCGTTTACCTTCCCACTGGAGTGGTACCTATTTATCTACTTGCACTTTGACGTGCTTTAGAACTGCTAGGTGGGCAGGAACAGGGACCGAGCAACGGGAGCTCACCCCGTCGCGGAGATTCAAACAGCCGACCTTCTGATCGGCAAGTCCTAGGCTCTGTGGTTTAACCCACAGCGCCACCCGCGTCCCTATGACATCTCTAGGGAGGGATAAAAAAGACTCCTGCCTAAAAGCTGCTGATAGTGTGGATAATACTGAGCTACATCAAGAATGCAGAACCTGTAGCTGTCTACAGGTGCTGTTGGACTTGAATTTCCATCAGCCTGGACAATGGCCACAGGTGATGATGGGAATTGTAGTCCAATAACATCTGGGTGGCCACAGGCTTAGTACAACTCCTCCTCCTCTTTATATCCTTACCTTTGTCCGAAAGGAGCCCACCATGGAATGGATAAACAAGTCAAAAAGACAGAACCCCTGCTACAATGGATTGGCAGAAAAAAGAGGTCAATGGGTAGGGGAGACTGATTCCAATTCTTCACTTCTTATGGAATAGGATTCTATAATTCAGTTGCAGGAGGAGGAATTTGTTCAGTTTGCATCTTAATATGAACCTGCCAGATTCACGCTTCCCAAACCAGTACATGGACAGAAGCACAGCCCTCCTTTGAAAACCAGACTTTTCTGAATTTTTCAGTGCACTCTCCAAATGAGTAAAGTGCAAAAAAAATGTGTATTAGTGAAAAGTGCATGTAAACATGTGTATATCAGTGAAAAGTACGCAGAAAAAGAATACATTTTCTTGTGGGGAAATTGCCTACAAAATTGTATCCATTAGGATAATATGCATACCAAAAATATTAGGAGAAGGGCACATAAAAATGTATTTTCATGCAGGCATTTTAAAAAATGAAATGAAATGAAATGAAATGTGAAAGTATACAGAAATGGGATGAACCAAATTTTAGACTTGGGAAAATGAAACTGAACGAAACTGAAATGAATAGATTTGCCCATCCCTAAACACAGCAGCAGATTACTGACTGGGCAGAGAGAATTCTACATCATTCTGCAGCTAATGAAGGATACAGCTGTGATGGATGCGTGATATTGTGCATGCATATAGCTTCCAGTACGATTGGGGTATTTATTTTTACTATTTTACAAGTAATTACATTCGAGCTTACCCATCTCATTCTTTCAATGAACAGTTTATAAAATGAATTCTCCCTGAGTGACAAAACAGGGTAGCCAACAGAGGATTAACTTTATTGTTCAAGGCAATCCATTATTTAAGGTCCCACATGGTTGGCATATAGCAACAATTCGTCTCTGTCAAAACACAGTATCCACATTTTTTTTTTAAAAAAAAAGCCCAACAACAACAGAAAGGGCCATTGTATAACTCTAAAATCAAGGGGCTTGAGTTGTGGCAGACATATTGACGGAGAATCCCTGTTCCCACAAAAATTGTGAAATTGGTTTCATCTGTTAGGATTTAGCAGAGTTAGATCTTAAACATGATTTCACATGTTGAAAAATATTTTTCTGCAGTTGTGTGGAATATGCTGTTTATATCCTTATTGTTCATCCATCTTGCGGCATGTGTTGTTTGCCACCAGCACAGAGAAAGGGAAACATTGCGTGGAATCCAAGATCAGAGGCAGCCGTAGTCACAAAGTCTCGCTCTTCCCCTCACATGGAATAACCAAGAATAAATCAGATTCATAGCATTAAAAAAGAACTCCGCAATGAAGAAAGGAGAGGGACAAAATGTACCACTGCATGAGGTCATGGGGATTATGTGGGGACAATGTACCCCGACAACGGAACCAAATAAATAATGCCCTGCCCTATGGAGACAGCACAAACTGAGTGCAAACTAGATTGTCTTTAGGTATAAATCTTCCTCCAAGTTTTAATAGAATATGTTAATAGGGCCGCAAGCTATTCAGCGAAACCCCTGTTTCCAAAGAAGGAACTCCACTGCATTCAGTGGGTCTGCTCCCAAGTAATCTAACCATGACTGCCGATGGTGTAATACCAACCAAGTCTACTAAGAAATAGATTCCACTGAATAAATTAGGGACTTCCTCTTGGGTAATTGAGGTTAGCACTGCAGCCTAGGTGCTGTTGTTGTTTAGTCATTTAGTTGTGTCCAACTCTTCATGACCCCATGGACCCAGAAGGGCTCTTCTTACTTGCTTATGTTCTTATTTAACTAGGGGTACTTTGATTTTGGGACGCAGGTGGCGCTGTGGGTTAAACCACAGAGCCTAGGACTTGCCGATCAGAGGGTCGGCGGTTCAAATCCCCACGACGGGGTGAGCTCCCGTTGCTCGGTCCCTGCTCCTGCCAACCTAGCAGTTCAAAAGCACATCAAAGTGCAAGTAGATAAATAGGTACCACTCCGGCGGGAAGGTAAATGGCGTTTCCATGCGCTGCTCTGGTTCGCCAGAAGCGGCTTAGTCATGCTGGCCACATGACCCAGAAGCTGTATGCCTGCTCCCTCGGCCAGTAAAGCGAGATGAGCGCCGCAACCCCAGAGTCGGTCACGACTGGACCTAATGGTCAGGGGTCCATTTACCTTTACCTTACTTTGATTTTGCTGGGACATGAATTGCAACCCCAAACGGCTCATTTCCAAATCCTCTGGTTTACTTTTGTGGATTACGGTCTGAACCCAACAAGAACGGGGCCTAATATAAGCCAGTTATGCAATGTAGCTATCAATAGCTATATTGGGGGTGGCGCAGAGGGGAGTGTGTGTTGTCCTTAATTTTTTAATATTTACAGTTTTTCAAAACCATCTGTGATGTTTTTCTCCATCTTTCTCTGATAATGAACTTTGTCTTATTTCTTATGGGGAGGGGGAGGAGAAAAGATACTTTTGTACGTAAAAAAAATAATCAAAACTAAATAAAACTTTAAAGCCGAATTCTGTCCTTTTGAAGATAAAAGCAACAAACTTGAAAGTTTTGGTGGATCTCTGTTGTGGCTGGTTTGTGGAAAAATGTTAATTTAGATACATTTACTGGAAGGAACAACCCTCTTTACTGGCTTGGGGATCTAACTTGCATGATCTAATAGGTATTTCCATCTTTAGTTTCTGTGTTCCTTATTGTGTTAATTATATTTTATTGTCCTGCTGGATGGCAACACTACAGAAGTATAATACACAATCATAATTAAAATGCCAAAAAGAAAAGACTAAACACACACAAACACACACAAACACTTGTATCTCCAATAGGTTATAATTAAGCCTTGTGTTCCAGCTAGTTGAAGGATAATTTCATATTCTGTGTGAATGCTGCATTAGTATTTGCCCTAATAAAAACAATTGCCTTTAAATGAAAACAACATTACAGTAAATCATATTAATAAACATCTGAATCTCTTTAGTGACTTTAATATAATGATTATATTGGTGTCAGACTTCTGAGACTTTGAATTCCTCTGTTCAGCAATACTGGGTTTCACATTGTTCCTCTGAGCCATTCTTTGTAGGGGTGGGGCTGTTAGTAGTACAGGATGGATAAAACCAGGATGAGACTCAGATGCAAAAAAACAAAACAAACAAAACCTTAGTGAAATCACTCCCAAATTTTTGGTAGTGGGTGCAAACAAGGGGTGGTCAGATTCTTGCAAGCGGAACCTAGGCAATGGTACGACTGGATGGGCTGCACTCTAGCTATAAATGATGCAGGCAGCAGCAGCAGCAGAAACATTTTCTGCCAGAGATCATGGAGATTGCATTTCAGCCCCCAAGATGTTGGTAGCATAGGAAGGAACCTTCAGTCTTCATGGGAGCCTCCTGCTGTAGGAACAGTGCCGGATTTACATACAGTGGTACCTCGGGTTACAGACGCTTCAGGTTACAGACTCTGCTAACCCAGAAATAGTACCTTGGGTTAAGAATTTTGCTTCAGGATGAGAACAGAAATCGCGTGGCACAGCAGCAGTGGGAGGCCCTATTAGCTAAAGTCGTACCTCAGGTTAAGAACAGTTTCAGGTTAAGAACAGACCTCTGGAACAAATTAAGTTCTTAACTCGAGGTACCACTGTATAAGCTAAACAAGCTATAGCTTAGGGCCTCACTCTCTTGGCCCCCCCCAAAAAAAATTTAAAGGAGAAACAAACCTAGATGTACATTTCCAAAATATAAGATAAAAAACAAATAAAATAAAACCTACATACAGCAACAGTGTTTTGTGTTGTGTAGGCTCCTATGATTTAAGTAATGGGCCCCGCCTGCTAGCCTGCTCCCTAAAATATCACTATCACTATTAATATACTTCTTCTTAATTGTATTTCACTATTAATATACTTCTTCTTAATTGTATTTCAGTTCAACAATTACTTTGATAAAAGACATATTTTGTTATGTGCAAATGGCTTTAGATACCTATTAGGTCCATAAATTACCATATAGCTTATATTCAACACAAAA